AGTTGTTAGCCTTATGGATAATCTCGTCGAGGGTTTTGGCTTTACCGATGGCGACTTTATCGTAGAATTTCTGGTCCGACCTGAGGTTCTACTTCAATGCGGTTAGTGTGACTTTGTCTGTGGGGTCGCAGAGGGAGACGGCAGTTGTTCGAATGTTTTGATAAACTGCAGCTTAAGCGGAGTGTAATCACAGAGTGTTTCCTTCTCACCTTGAACGCAGGTCCATAGCTCTGAGGTGTTTGCCCTGTGCTCAAGGGAAAGCGAGTAATGTCGGAAGAACTCTAAGGAGATTTGTTCAAACTTTTCGATAGAGTGCGAGTTAAGCTTAGAGAACCACTTAAGCGCGTTCCTAATAAGGGATTCCATGAAGTATTGGCAGAGGAAGGCGTCGTGTTCTTCGGCCGAGAAGTGGGCTCTATGCATGGCGGCATTGGAGGTCATAAGATGCTTCTAAGGGTCCGAGTTGCCAGCATAGGAGGCCGGTAACTTGAATTTCATGGTCGCGAAGGGGTATGCTGGTGATGCATTCGGCAAACAGGGTTTGCTGGGTTAGCTTAAGCACTTGTTCCAGCTCGAGGTCGAGCTAGTAGCGTTGTGTACCTGTGATATGACATTGTTGATCCGCTGGTGTAGGAGGTGTAGCTTGGATGTTCCCGGGTGGCTTTTGGGGTGATAAGGCGGAATTTTTGTTTAGATCGGGCGTTGAAGTCTGGTATGCTGGTTGTCGTCCCATGCTGCGGGTGGTGTGTCGCCGAAGATGAGTCTTTTAGACCCTGGCGTGGTTGCTCCTGGTGGTATTTTTGGTCCTTTGGGAGTGTCGACCTTAGTTACCTCGGTGTTGTCTTCCCGATGTGAATCGCCTGGACAGGTATCGTTGAGGGTGTAGAGGTAAGCGACATGCTGAGTGTGTAGAGCTCTGATCTTCTCGTCCATCTTGTTATTCATATGTGTCATGAAAGCCTGTAGGAAGGTGGGTATGTCAGTCGTATTTGTCGGTGGTTGGGGTGGTTATGGAGGTGGTGGATTCTTTCCCGTGGTGGGATCGATGTGATCTTCCCCGTGCTGATCGTTAGGATCGATGGTGTGCTGATTTTCTGTTTCTTCGTTGTTACTTCGCCGTGCTGGCCTGCAGAAGGTGGTTCTGACCATCTTCGAGTTCCGACTTGTTTTTAGAACTTGACTCTTTTGGTCTCCACAGACGGTGCCAATTGTAAGATCTCAAAATCATCTTAGGGAAATCATAAAGATTTATAGGGGTAAAAGAATAAGTCTTTTATTAATAATAAGCCAGAGCTCGAAGGTTACAAAGAGTTTAGGTCGTCGGAATGAGAATGGCAACCTAAATCAAATTTTGGAGAATTCGAGATCTAAAGATAGAAGCAGAAAACTATGTTTGCTGTAAGTCTCGAGTCCGAAGTTGTGAATGAATTCTTTCTTTAAGAAGAGCTCATCTTTTATACCCATTAGAAGTGATGTAAAAAAAAGACTCCTTCCTTTTCAGAATACATAAGTCTAACCTTAATCCAACTTCATTCCAACATGCAGAAGTGCTAAAAGAAGACTTATGTATTAGAGTTTCCTTGCAAATGTTATCATATACAAAAATATAAGGTGTAGTTTTGAAAATTGTGACTATGATGATGAAGATATCAATATTGAACCGGACTTAACCGAGCCACAAATCATTGAAGACCCAACCGGAGCTATAACTAGAGAAAGAGCAAGAGTGTTACAACGTAAATATAATCAAGCTATCTCACAAGCTATTCTTCAAGCGGATCATAAGGACTTCACAACAACCGCACAAGCTTATAGTGGGTTACTTGAAGATAGAGACACCGGCCCAACTTCAGCCAACAAAAGTAGCTGGCCAATCCTTTCAAGTCAAGGCCTCTACAATATACTTGCGGTCACACAAGAAGCCCAAGAAGAGAGCTGCGAAAGGGAAAGGATTCACCTCAGTCAAAACCACAGTTATAAACATCAAAAAAAGAATTACTACTAGCATTCAAACCAAACTGTGGACGAGCCAACAAAGAAGGTAAGTGTTACAAAATTATCTCAATTATATTTTGACTAAGCAAGTTATTATTTCTTTGGTGAATGCAGCATAAACTTAGTCTTTGATTTTATTATATTTATGATAATTTTCGTTTAATAATAAGAGCAAATGTTAGCCTGATTTCTTGCATTTTTATTCAATGTAATTTGTTTCCAAAGACCCCTATAAGGACATAGTTGTTCGGACTAGTTTATAAAGTCTCCTCTCACAGCAGTGTATCTTTTGCTTTTGATTAATAAAATACCGAATTTTCTTCAAGATTATAAATCAATCTTGTGTTCTTGCTCTTAATCTTTTGTAAGACCAGTACCTCCAAATCATAAGAGTGTTTATGTGTTGTATCAAAGGATTTCCCATAACCTTTATGGTACACTTCGATCCACCATCGTTCTGATTTGTTCGTTCTGCTCGACCACCGGTCAAACTGTCCAAGTATCTCGACCGTTCGACCAAAGATCTCGTCCCGCTCGACCACCCGGTTCTACTCATCCCGTCCCACAGCCGTGTAACCGTCCTGTTCAACCATCCCATCGTCTCGCGTCCTTGTGTCCTGAGTATCTCGGCTACAAGACCACCCGTACCCGCCATTCCCCACTCATCCTAGACTGATCGTCCCACGCTCGTACCGAAGGATATACTAAATCGACCACCACTCCGAACTTGTATCATTTTAGTATCAAAGCTGAAGTTCCTTCAGCCCTCATGTTGCATCTATCCAATCTATCTTTTCTTGCATTTTATATTTGTGTTCTTTATATCATTTCAAAAAAAAAAAAAATATATATATATATATATATATATATTTAAAGCATTCGATCATTTAATCCATTTCGTATTCCTATTGTCATCACATCTAGTTTTCAATTCTTCAAAAAAAAAAAAGGAACCATAATCATTTGTTCACCATTGTTAGCTGTTGTTACCAATCATTTAAGTTAGATTTCATTAGCCCAATCTCAAAAAAGTCAAAAAAAAAATTATCATTCATTTGCATTCATTCTAGTTTCTATTTATAGAACCATATCACCAATCAAACCATTTACATATTAATACGAGTATTGCATTATTATACTATAATCTTTGGTCCGTATTATATTAATTCAAAGACTTTAACCAAATTTATCTTTGGTTTAAGGTACTTGGGTCAAACGACATGGGGGAAGAAGCTAGCAATGCAAATGATCCGGTTAGTCAAATGATGGCCATGATGAGGGAAGAGTTTCAAGCCTTCAGGCAAGAGGTGGGGGAACGCCTCACTCGTGTAGAGCAGACACCTCGTACTCCCTTATGGCCTGTGAGGAATGTCAGAGGACTTGGCAATACCAACCTTCAAGGAAATGGCCAAAGACACAACGGTATTCACATCAATGAGCCTGCAGATGGAGGTCAACGACGTGACGATGATTCTCTTGAAGATGAAGATGACCCGCCTCCTAGAACGAACCGTGTACGGAGAAGATGAGTACAAAGAGAGGAGTATGAAGAAGACGAGCCATACGACCCTCACCCGAGGCAAAACCAAGGGAACAGCAAACTAACCGCGCCAAACTTTGCCGGTATAGTTGATCTTGGGGCTTGTCTTGAATGGGAGAAGAGGATGGACCATATTATGCATGATAAACCGACCACCACTCCGAGCTTGTATCTGGCTAACATTTACTTTTATTATTAAACGAAAATTATCATAAATGTAATCAAAAATCAAAGACTAAGTTTATGCTGCATTAACCAAAGAAATAAATACTTGATTAGTCAAAATATAATTAAGATAATTTTGTAACACTTACCTTCTTTTAGGGCCAAAGCCCGAAGCCCGGTCGGCCCTAAAAAATACCGGGTTTAGGCTTTAGTATAAAAGCTCAAAAAAATCGGGCTTTTTGGGATAAGCCCGAATCGGACTCAAGGTTATCCGAAAAGCTATGTATTATATATTATAATTTATTTAGAAATTTTTATTAAAACTTTATCTTTACAATTTTAAAAAATTAGAGTTATTGATTTTTTTATGATACTCTTTATTAATCTAAAATCTTGACTTTTAGTTGTGTGCCTTCATATAAACATCAAGGCTCAAACTAAACTAGTTTCAAAAAGCATTCCTACCTTCAACCTGAAGATTCTCATCTTGATTCTACTGTTTCTACTATTTAGATTACTTATTTTTTTTTTTTTTTATGTTATAATTTATCTGGATTTACTAAGTTAAAGTTTTATCTTTAGATTTGATAAAACTATATTTATGATTATTTAAATTTAGATTTAATTCTAATAACTATTTTTTCTTTTAGTTTATTTTATATTTAAAATTTATTTTATTTTTCTAAAAATCTCGAAAAAGGCTAAAAAAAATCCAATAACCATGTTAGTACCAGACCGGACTTCATAATATAGACCTGATATATTATCCGGCTGGACCAGGCCAAACTTAAATATATACGGGCTTTACGGGTTTTGGACCGGACCGGACCAACCTGTTTGACATGTCTAACTATGATTGCCGAGAGAAATCACTTATTTTTTCATTTATGATATCAAAGAGGGTTATTAAGAGATGGATTTATATAGATTTTAAGAATTTGTAAAGTTGACAGATTTTAAAATTTTTTATTGGAATTATTTGGATTCAAAGAATATGTTACAATGGATTCTCACTGATTATTGTTGATTTTTATTGATTTTTACAATTAATATATTCTTCTGTTTTTTTTTACAATTTAAACTTTAAAGTAACATATATAACAAAAAAAACTAAATATTTACTTTAACGTAGGCATATATATATAAATATATAACATTGTTTCTTGACGCATTGATTTTTCATTTGGTTCTTAGATCAACCAAAAACAAATAATTTTTTTGTTTTTATCGTTAATTTATGTTTTACAGTTTGTGTTTTATTTGTTGATTTTATTTATTTATGTTTACAAAATAACGACGAGTGTAACTTGGGAGATTAAAATATAAGGATACTTTTTTGGAGTGATTTACACTCATAGGTATTTATGAGTTTTTGTTTATATCCAAAGACACTTGTTGATATTGAGGGACTTTGAGAGTTTTTTAGATTATGAAATACCAATTCTATCCTTTATTAATTTTCTTTATGAAAACCCTTAATATTTTTTTCTGGGTTTTTAATAGCGAAAGCGCAGCTTTGGCTCTTCTTTCATTTTCTTTGTTATTGTTTTTTCTTGTTCTCTCTTGCTTTTTCTTTTTTTCGGCTTCTTGTTCTTTGTGAACAGAGCTTATCGGTATATACAAACCAACATCATCATATCCACGCTGTTATATCCACGCACTTATGTCCACAGCACCGTGTCCACAACTTCAATGATAGTATCTTACACACTATCATTGTCCACAAACCAACAACATCATGTCTATGCTGTTATATCCACGCCCTCATATCCACCGCTTTGCGTCCACAACTCCAATGATCGACACTGTCTTGTCCACCTTATTCATACAAACCAACACCATCATGTCCACGCTGTTATATCCACACACTTATGTCCACAGCACGGTGTCCACAACTTCAATGATAGTATCGTACACACTATCATTGTCCACCGCTTTGCGTCCACAACTCCAATGATCGACTCTGTCTTGTCCACCTTATTCATACAACAGAAAAATGTGAAATTTCCTAGGGATTTAGAGATTGGGCAGAGATTGTCTTCTTTATTTTTAGGAGATTAAAAATTAGATAGAAGAAAAAGCATATGCGATGATTTAATAAAAAAGGAGAGTAATGAAGAAAGGATCTTGAATCACATATAGAAAGTAAAAAAAACAACAATTAAGGGTTTTGATTATTTACCAAAGGCATAGATATCGATGTTCTTCAATCCCAGTAAGCTCTTCTTCCTCAGCCCAACGCCTACTAATCGCTGGGAATCTTCTATTGTAATCGAAAATGAGAAACCAGTCTTCGATTCAACAATAGATTCGGAGCTAGCGTCGGCTAGAGTTATAGATCCCCAAGGTAACAGAGACGAATGCTCACTGGAGATCCAGCCCAGAATCGGATGCCTGGGATTCTGCGATGCCGTGATCGCAGCTCCAGCGGCAGCAGCACCAACGGTGATGGTGACTTGCACGGCAGAAATTGGAAAATCTTGAGGACGACGTAGCACACGGTTGTTTGGGGACTGAGGGCTGAGAAAACAAGAAAGGGTTGAAAAAACTTACTTGAGACGAAGCAAATAAATCAATAGCCGGAAATTGAGATCAATGGTCGGTGTAAGTAGAAAAAATTGTCAAAGAATAAAAAAAGTATGTTGAATATCGAAGAAGAGACGAAGAATAATTGTGAGACTTATCAAAGATTTATGTCGAATAAGTGATCCAAATATGTAAGGGTGATATTGTCTTTTTATGTAAGCAAAGTCCTCTCATCTTTCTAAGTACCTTTAGATGTTATTGAAAACTCATTAAGTGCTTATAAATGTAATATTCTCTACTTTTTTGAGCCGATCCACTAATATAGCAAAAAGTAATAACCTATTGACTAAAATATTAAGTAAGACATGTGAATTGTGACAATATATAACAACCACTACAGATTTCTTTGTGAAGCCAAACAAGAGAGAAAAAAAAAACAAATTTCCTCTTTTGAAGATCTCTGAGTTCTAATCCATGGCGATATCTCCGTTCATCATCATAATCTACTTCTCCTACTACCACTCTTCTTCTTACCTACTCTACGCGGAATCGTTTACGAAAACTGCAGTTTGCTACTAACTCTGCTTTTTTTCCTTTTTTTGGTTGTAATTAGTAACTCTGTTCTTCGTTTGGTTACTTTGTCCTTTACCAAGTGTTTGTGAGCAAATTTTGAGATACTTGAAGAGGAATGTGTGATCCTCTAGATGTATAGAACTGTGTCTCCAAATTTCACCTTCCAAAGATGAACGATGTGCGGTTCCTGCAGACATGGATAAACCACTAAACGAGTGAGAAGTCTAGATTCGGGATGTATAGATGTACAGATTCGGAAAAGAAGTCTAGCGCAGATATAAGTAAACGAATAAATCGGAGTTTCTGGTGGATCTAAAAAGGATTTTTCTCATGTAGATTCTCCGACGCTCAAGTCAATGATCACCCTACTCGGAACAAGTACTCAAAATATAAGTTTCAAGATGCTTAAGAGTTAGATATCTCGTTCGAAGATCGTGATATCCATCTGGTGTTTGATGGACGGGTAGTATAAAGAATAGACTATGAAGAGAGTGGCGTATGAATTCTCTCTACATGGATATAAAATCAGGAAAGGAAGGTTAGAAAGACGTTTATCTATGAAGGTGTTTCCTCTGATGAACGGTGGGTGTTCCTCTTCAGTCTCGTTATGCACGGGGCTTTAGGCGAGCTCCGGTGAAGCGGAGATCGGAGGTTTTCCCCTCCTTCCCATTTGGTGCCTCTTGTTATCTTTGGATTTGTCCTATGTGGATCCTTTGAGTTCCAAATATCCGATCTCTTTCTCTTTACCTTTAGGCTTCTTTTTATACCCAACTTCCCCTCTCTTGACCCATCCGTGCAGTGCATCGCGGGAGCAGATTACTTAGTACAACACGTCTGACTTGGTAAACACGCCAGCTGCCCGGAAACAGTCTGCTAGGGAGTTGGTGGCATGCCTAGTGGAAAAATGTCAACGCTCGGGCGGAGTCCAGTGGCTATGTGTTGCCTTAGGATTGGTCTTGGTAAAAGTAGGCCTAACAATTGCTCGTGACTTCTCGACTGATTGTAAATGAGTCGAGGAGTCAACCCTTTCGTCATTCCTGTAAAATAATCAAAGATATATCTGATACTCGAAGGTTTTGGCTGGTTCGAAACCTTGTTATAACAGGTCCCCTGATCTTGCCGTGAATCTCAGGGGTGTACGGGTCTAGTCGAGACGAAGACAGAGTTTCCGGAGAAACAGTGAAAGGCTCATTCCGACCTTGCCTTGCATCCCGGAGGAGCATCTTTGAAGCGGCCCATCTTTGGGGATCATATCCATTGCCCCAGGGCTAGTCACTCGGCTCAGCTCCAGGAGCAGGGTTCTCCTCTTCGCTATGCCGTGTTTCTTACTTTCTGTCACGCGATGTCTCATTTTGGCTTCCGCCGTTTTTGGCCATCGTGGTTCAGGACTGTTCCAGCGATCGGCTGCTTGACAGTACAATGACTACTTCTTTCGTAGGGTTTCACACCGTCTCCCCCCCTCCTCTCCCTCCTCTTTCTAGCGCCAACTATTCGGGAGCAAATTTTGGGATGCTTACGGATGTTTGATTGTCTGGATGTATGGAGCTGTATATTTGATTTTCGTCCTCACAGGGGATGAGCGATGCGCGGCTCCGGGGTGGAAGTCTAGCGGATCCTGCAGACATAGGCAAACCTCCGGATGGACCGAATGGAGGTTTCCCTCCTGAAGGTTTTCTGATGCTAAAGTCAATGATCACCTTACCGGGAACAAGTACTCAGAAAGGTAGGTTTTAAGATGGTTAAGGGTTGGATATCTCGTCTGAGGATCGTGATTTCTATCTGATGTTTGATGAACAGGATAGTATTAGGAATAGATCAAGAAGAGAGTGGAGTAAGAACTCTCTCTACATGGTTAAGAATCAGGAAAAGAAGGTTAAGAAGACACTTATATCATAAGGCGTTTCCTCCTGCGAACAGTGGGCGTTCTCCTTCAGTCTTACTGTAAGGACGAGGCTCTAGGCAAGCTCTAGTGAAGCAGAGATCGGAGGTTTTTGTTTCTTCCTTTGTTTGGTGCTTCTTGTTTTCTTTGGATTTGCCCTATATGGCTTCTCTGAGTTCCATGAGTCTGATCCCTTTCTCTTTGGTTTTAAACCTCTTTTTATACTCCGCTTCCCTCTCTCATGTCCTATATGTGCAGTGTGTCGTGTGAGCAGATGACTTAGTACAGCATGCCTGATTTAGTAAACATGTCACTTGTTCAGAAATAATCCACTAAAAAATTAGTGGCAGACTTAGTGGAAAAATTTCATCAATTTGGCGGGATCCAATGACTACGTGTCGACTTAGAATTAGTCGTACTAAAAATAAGAATGTATTTTAAATCAAATATTTGAATCAGGATATATTAAATGTTGAAAGCTTTATACAACTTTTCAAAAATCTTGTTAGGAAAATAATTGTTACCACGAAATTTGGGTTTTTTATTGCAAGAATAAGTATAAAAGCAAAATATCCATGGATGTATAAAATGTTTAGGATAAAACTTGATGACAAACTTTCATTTTCAAATAATGTAATCATAAATGATTAACAAATAAGTTCAATTATCTCATTAATCAGCCTAACATATTTTTTTCTCATTAGTTAGGAAAGAAGAGGTCGTCGAGATCAAGCCTTTTGAACATCAACAACAACCCTAGTTAAGGATCTAACAAAATTTATCCCTAATCACATCTTTTCATCATTAATGGTTGACCCTAGTCTAATCCCCAAGACCAAACAAAAAGAGGTACTACTCACTCGTGACTTCATAAACAGTAAATAACAAACACAAAAGAATTCACTATTTATTAGTGAGTACAATAGAATAATTTTATAAATGATGGGGGTCGAGAGAGGTAGTGAGCACAAGCTCTACCCAATGGTTTTACTCGAGAATGCCTCCACGATCAGAAAACAGTTATTATTGTAGTTACCCTTTATAATCCTAGGAAACTTTAGTTCCTTAAGTCATTCATTAACACAATGGTTTTCGATTAATCATTGTCTTATTTCCTGTCAAACCCTATGAAACGTTGGTTCCTTAACTCGAGGACGGTATTGGCTGTTCTAGAGGAGGTTTTCCCATCGGCGTGCGAAGGACAATGAAGACGAGGCGTGGTATGGCCTTCTCTCCCACTTGCCTTTATCTACTTTGGCCTGTCAGAGCTCTTCGTTGTCAAGGCCACATGTATCTTGCTTCCAAGTCAGCGTTTTCCTTCCGGTAGCGCTTTTCGAGGGTTTCTGAGGCGTGGTGGCTCTTTTCCCCCACTCGAGATCCTCCTGTTCTTGGTCCTTAACTCTTTCCGGCTGGGTCTGAGCATGTGGCAAGTTCTCTCTTCTCTGTCGGCGGCGGCTCCTTAGTCTCGCGAGCAGTATTAAGGGTTCTTGTTTGTCCGGTTAAAACCGGTAATCTGTTGTTAGTTCATTTGTTTCTTTAAACCAGTTCCATTTTCGCAGGCTTTTGTTGGGCTTTTTCTAATTTAGTTGTTTTGTAAAAGCCCAAAAAAACCCAAAAATATTCAAATACAAAAACCTTTTAACAAAAAAAAAAAAAAAATAATGAAAGAAAACTTGTGGCAATAAAACAGGTCTCTGACACCAGAAAACTCACCAATGAAGTCTAGAGCTGCTTCTCACACCGGATCTTATTTTCTGATGGATTTTGATGTCGTCATAACTTTTCATAAGACTAATGTGAAAGATCTCGAAAGAATTCTGCATAAATGGAATTGTCTGATAATGTCCACAATTAATTGTTCCTCAATTTTGCTGATTATCTAGGTTTGTCCATTGCTTCTCACATAATTGATGCAACAAACCACAATATTTAGTTGCTATGCGAATGAGTATAGATGCGAAGATCAAATTACTTTTGTTGATGGATCTCTCCCTAGGCTTGATAATGAGAATAGTATGTATACGTTTTGGAGCCGCTATAACAATATGGTTAAAACTTATTGAAAGTTGTAAATAAGAAAATCTATGACAGCATCTTTTATCATGACATGTGATTAAAATGTGAAATGATCTATACAATTGCTTTTGAATTAGTAATCTTTTACAGAAATATCAACATGAATAATCTATTATGATTCTCAAGCAAGACATGTAAGTACAGAAAACTATGACAGCCATTAATTTGACTTGGAAAGTGTCAAATTCAACGCTTTATTTGATTAACTAGAATCAACACAATTTAATCTCTCTGATTACAATTTTTTTGGTGTTATTAAACTCTAAACCTAGATTGTCCCTAATGGATTCCTAGTTCTAAAACATTCTTCACTCAATCACACAACCGTGTATCAGAGAAGAGGACACTAACCTTCTTACTTCATCTTTCAATGTTGAAGCTCAAAAACGTTCTAAAACAGTTATGGCGCAAAGTGTGTGTTACAAACTTTGTCCGACTTCCTATTTATACTAACTACCCAGCCTCTAACCTAGAATCTTCATCGAATCTAGCTTATAGCAAGTTTCCTCTTTGCCGAATATCTTTGAGTGCCCCCCCGCGGCATATTTGAGTCTATCTCTTGTGTTGCCATGTCATAATACCACGCCAGCTGCAAGCTTCCACAGCTACGTGCTTCCTGATATCCTTCTTGAGCTGATCTCTGATCGATGCTGGACGTTCTCCACAAACTGCATTTTCAATCTCCCCTTTTTTGACTTAGTTTGTCACTTGAGCATCTCACAGACATTATCCTGCAAAGTCA